CCTTCATTCTCATACTTTCAAATTTGGTGCTTAACATTTGTAGTCTAGACATCTTCACTTTTGAGGTTCCGTCATGAGTAATTTTGAGAGTGTCTCAGACCTCCTTAGCCAGTTCACAATGGTGTACCAGTCTGAAGATGTTTTTGTCTATACCATTGAATAGTGCACTCAATGCTTTAGAGTTCCCAAGAGCTAAGGCCTCTTGCTTTTTGTTCCATTCCTATTCAGGAATTAACACAGATACTCCATCATTGTCAGTCTTTACAGGATGTTCCCAGCCAAAGTTTGCAGCTCTCCATGCCTTGCTGTCTAAAGACTTTAAGAAGGCAATCATCCTAGGTTTCCAATAGTCATAATTAGAGCCATCCAGAATTGGAGGTCTATTTGTGAATCCTATGTCTTTATCCATAGTGCCAGAATTTATCTTCCCTAGATCTCACCCAGAAATAACAGGCAGGGTGCCTGCTCTGATGCCAATTGAAATTCTGGCAAGCACACGATGGATGTTATCACGGATGTTATAACATCCACTGTAACACAGACTATTGGAATAATTAAAAAGCTGTAAAGGAAAGCAATAAATCACACCAGTAATTGTTCACCTAGTTCAGTGTCAACAACACTTACATCTGAGGGCTACCAAGCCAGGGAGGAAATTCACTATCAGTAAATTAATTCAGAGTTAAACCTCCAGTTTACACTCTTCACTTAAAACCTACCCAATGACACTTCAGCCTAGAACATACTAGACCTGAGTATACTCACTCACTCCCCCTCAATCCCACCACAGTGATACAAATACACAATTACAAAAGAAATATGAAGACTCACTTCAAACACACCTTTATCTTGCTTCACATCTTTGATCAAGTGACTCACACTCTTGCTTAACAGCTTTGAGTGACTTCAATGAACACACATGTTCAGACACAATAACCACAACAGTTCTATAGCATACAATTGCTTGGCACACAAGGAATCCTAAGACTCCTAGACTCACGTGAAGAACAAGGTTCTTCACTCACAAACACACTCTATGATCTCTCACTAGATGCTCTCTCCTCTGTGTGTCTTTCCATTAGGAATGATCCTTTTGCTATTTATAATAGCAGACCTGCTTTGGACCTTGGTGCAGAAATTAGGTTTACCCCAAACCTCTCTTCAAAAAGCTGCACTTACCACTTAGGTCAGGTACATTTAATTTTTCCAGGGTTTCTAAAATGTTTCTTGACTTCCACCTTGAGCTTCTATAAAGTTTCCTGAATTCTTGCATGAGCTTCCTCCTTCTGAATAACAGAAAACTAAACCTGCGCACCTGATGTCATACGATCAGTGTCATGACATTCAGTATGACATTCAACTTTACTTACTCATAATTTTCCTTGCATAACACTTTTCATGTATGTCCTAACATCAGCTATGACATTTACTCATACATTAATGTTTTGCCATAAAATAAGCCAATCAAAATCATCTACAATAACCAATCCCTGTTGTTTTCCCTTATTTTTTCTTGTTAACCCTAACCCTTGTGTGTTTCTTGCCTATAAAGAAACCGAGTATATTTTGTTCTAAAGCATCCACCAGGTTTGGAAATTTTGTTCTCATATCGGTCTGTTCCAAATGAGATTCAAAATCTTAGGTACCTCCAAGCTCTTGATCTTTCATACAACAATTTTAGTGGTTTAATACCACAAAATGTTGTTTTGATGAATAAAGGACCAACTGTTTTTATTGGAAACATTGGCTTATGTGGCCCACCTTTGAAGAATCCATGTGGCTCTGATGTTTATGTTCCAGTTCCAGCTACTAGTTCACCTTCCTCATATCCAAAACTTCCAGGTTTTGAGAAAAACAAAGGGGCGAGTAGAGGTGTTGTGGTTGGGAATGCTATTTGTGATTTAATAGGAATTTGTCTTTTAGGCTTTGATTCTCGATAGGGGCAAGGGAAGGGGTATAACTCAGTGATGAGTTTCTTAAGCCTTCGACTTTTGTTCTTGGTAAGAGTGAAATAAGGATTATGTATAAAGTTGTGCTTGAAGAAGGACTTGCTTTGAATGTGAGAAGATTGAAAGAAGTTGGTTCTCAAAAGTTTATAAAAGTCCCACATCATTTTTTTCATAAACAATTTTAGTGTTTATAAAACTCAACAATATATTACACAATGTCTTCTTGGGCCCAAGCTTTAAATAGATGCTGTTATGAATTGGACTTAGGCCCAATAATTATTTTCAAATTTTTAAATAATTAATTTTTAAAATAATTAATTAATTATTTATTCTATAAAAAATATTAATTAATAAATAACCCTAGTCATCAATGATATATCATTAAAAATTAGTTTTTTATCCCAATCATCAATGTCACGTATGCAAAAGTGAAAGGGACCTCAAAAATCCAAATACCATCCAAATTAAGGGACCGGAATCACTGATTTTGTAATAGGGGATCAATTATTTAAAACTCCCAAACTAAGGGGATCAAAAGTGCATTTAAGCCTTAAAAGAAAGGTTGACGAGACTTCAAGTCACTAACTCTTCAATACTAACTTTTCAATAGTGTCATTTGGTGCATAATTATTGATGAATTTAATGCTATGAAAGAATGTCGTACACAACTTAGATAAATTATATAATGTATTTAATCATTTGAATATACTTAACTAGCATAATTTAGTTATTGATAACGCAAAATTATGTCGTATATTTGACTTGACTTACATGCATTTTATCTGCGATTACTGCTATTTTATCTGATTTATATTCTACTACGCATTTGTTTTCTTGTGTTTTGTAGGTTATCGAAAATATGAATTAAAGAAATAAAAGAAGAAAGAAATGAAGAAAATGGAAAGAAAAGAGGAAGAAAAGAGGACGAAAAGAAAAGAAGAAGAAATAATATAAAAGGAAAGAAAAAAAAGGGGTGGGGGCCACCACACACCAAGTGGCACTTGTCACTTGTGTGTGGCGCCTGTCACCAGGGAACCACAAGGAAGTGTGGCGCCTGCCACCTTCCAAAGAGTGAGGGGAATGGCGAGTGCCACTCCTAGAAAGAAGGAAGAGTGACAACTGCCACTCCTAAAAGAAAGGGAAGTGGCGTGTGCACTTCCTCGCTACATTTTCTCCACTCCTCTCTGCATTTTCTCCGATCTTCACTCCATATTTTGACCTGAGATCTTGGGTAATCGTCGCCACTAACAACTATAAAAGCCACATACAATTTTGAAAACGGGGAGCCACTTTTGATTTATGTTTTCGTAGTATTTTTCTTAAGAGTTTTTGTTCTTAATTTTTAGGCAGTTTTTAGAGGAATTTTGTATAAGGTAATTGTTTTTCACACTGGTAAACAATTTCCAGTTAGTATTAGGATTGATTTACAGGTTGTAACTTTGTACCGAACTGCAAGCCGTCCTCCATAATCCAATCCAAGTGTTTTTTTGTTCTTCGTAATTGTCAGGTTCCATTTATTTACTCTTACTGTTATTATTATTTTTATGCATCCCTTTTATTTTCTGTCTAGCATTAAGATTAGATTTTGTAATAACATGTAAGCCATGTCTGGCTAAACCTTTTAATATCGGTATGTAATTACGATCGGTCGGAAGAGGTTAAGTAAATCATGGCGTGAGTTTAACAGATATATTCTTCTGGTCTCAGTTTCTTTTTAATAACTTAATAACTTTTGTTACGAGAGTAAAAAGGTAACGAAGGTTAAGATCAATAAAGCGAGAGTTTGAGGTCTTAACCGGATAACTGAAACTGAACATTATTCTTAAATATAGCGAGAGCGCTTTAAGGTTAATTATGATCTACTTATTTTCAAAAAGTGTTTTTAAATACAAATGGAGAGCGAGAGCCTTCATTCTGATTTGAGAGTATAGTCTAAGTCAATAAACACGAGAGTGTGAGATAAAGTCTTTTAAATGAGCATTTTCTACAGAATAACAATTCTTCCTTTTAAACTAAACACCCATGAATTACTGAACCCTCGGTGATTGATAGAATTATATACCGATATTTCGCATTATCTTGATTTAAATTATATTTCAATTTGCACTTATTTTCTTACTCGCATCTCAACTTAGAAATCCATTAGCCTTAGATTTACGTAGTAGTATTAGATAACAGTAGATCGATTCTTGGTCCTTTGAGTTCAATAATCTTTAAAACTACGCGATCAGACTGTGCACTTGCAGTCACGAAGCATTTAGACATACTAAATAGCGATCAATTATTATTTAATATTTTAATTTTTCACCCTTGTATATATTCCAAGATCCGTCTCTCACCATAACCGTATTCTTACAATCTTAGTTGTCTTATTGTGTTTAAGGATCCAACTCTGACCATAACTCCATGTACATTACTCTTTCCACTCTTATATGAGTATACCACACTCTTGAAAAAACAAAATTGGCCTTTATGCGTCCGGACGCACCAAAATCCCAGCAAACCGCGTTATTATGAGGTTCACCCTAGTTTGAACTAATATGGTCCAGAGATGCATCTCTATATATTATTTGGGCATATCTAGAGATGCATATCTAAAATATCATCTGAAGTCCTTTAAAAGGTGTTGGAAAGGTGATTTATTTCAGAGACGCATCTCCGGATACCCCTTTGAATTATTTCAGAGCATCACCATTGTCCCAACATAATAATCTTTTGTGGCCAACTTATATTAGAGTGAAACCAAAGTAAAATCCATATAACATGTAGTTAAAGGGAAAAAAATTCATACATTGATCCAAAAAATTATCCAATACATAACAGTTGTCTGAAAGTACAAAAAAGTAAAACATCCAAACATAAACTAACTACTGTGTATGTCTAACCCCCTATCTCATCTACCACCTATACCACATAACATTTCGTAACTCGGCAATCATGGTCTCCACAAGGGCCTTTTAAGGAATGTTATCTTCAAAGAGTTTTGCCTCTATGGCTCCTATACCCATTTCTACAACAAGCTATCAAACTATTGGTCTGCTCATCCTGAACCTAAAGTACCTCCAAGTATGCTAACCTAGGTGGCCCTTCAGGAGCGCATGATGTCATGATAGGGTGTGACACCCTATAGAACCATGTTATGTAGCCCTCAACATAAGCCCAATGCACACGAGCGGGCTTTTGGCGATACTCCTGCGGTACCAGGCGCCTCTCGAAATCATCCAGTATAGCACCAAGATCTCTGCGATAGACGCCGAGATGATCGGCCTCATAGGGAGGTCTCAGAATACATGCAGCCAAACTGGAGTATAAGGAGATGACGTCAAATGAACACGTCTGGCAGTGACCCTCGTATGGGAAGAAGCAAATGTCATTTGGTACCATACGCTCAAGAGAGACTCTGAATGGCTCAACCGCACCATTCCTCATGCACGAAATAAAAGCGAATGTATGTGGCCAGTCCTCATCATAGGCAGACACAATTTCAAACCCAGTGATGTAGGACTGACGCAGGATATGTATCAAAAGCGTTTGGAGATGCATCTCCAAATCATCCATTACTGTTTTGAATAAATGGTATTTATGAGGATGCATCTTCGGACGCACTTTTTACACATACAGAGATGCATATCCGAATTAAATTTTAATGTAAACAGGATGTATCTTCATTTTGATCAGAGAAATAGAAAAAAATTAGTCTCTGGACGCTAGGGACATAATAGACTTTCATGGTTATGTGGGATAACACATAAGGGTGGAAAGAGTATTTCCCTAACTCTATTCTTAAGAACTTAGTTGTTCTATTTTGTTTACAGATCAATGGCCCTAGGTGTTGCGTGTTTCTTGATGGATTTATTTGACAAGTGTGCTAAATTTTTTCATCAAATAAGAATGTTTACAAAAGTTTCGTCTTCCAAAGATTGTGTCGATGTTGTGTTAATTCCTACATGACAACGATAACTCATTTGTTTTTAATAAAAACTAGTGCGATACTCGTGCCTTCGCACGGGTATTGGTCGGTGACGCGCATTTGCTTACATTTAAAATTTGAAAAAAAAAATAGGATTAATAAAAATTAGTAAATATAAAAAATATAATTTATATTTAAAAAAGATAGAATCAATACTCGTGAGCATCAATTGGTATTTTTTATAAAAATATTTATGCAATGATTTACTTTTTTAAATATCAAATAATAAGATAGTATTTGTAAATATTACTTTAATTGTACAAATAAATATTAGTAACATAAATAAATATATTTTATATAAATATTATTATAAATATCTATTTCGTAGGATATCCATATCAGTACTCGTGTGTTTGCCCGGCTACTGGTGTGGTACGCACGCTTTTGTTTTTAAAATATAATAAAAATGTAAATAATAAACAAAGACACATTTTTAAAACAAAAACAAAATTATTTTACCAAAATTGTTTTACATCAATAATATATATTTCAATTCTCCATATTATGTAAATTAATAGTAATGTTGTTTGTGATATTATTTAATATTTAAATCAATAGTTTAATATCAGTATCATATGCATGTAACATATAACACCTATATGTTCGCCCGGATACTAGTGTCGTACGCACATTTTTGTTTTTAAAAATATAAATAAGAAAAATAAAATTGTTTTACTAAAATAATTTATTATTTTTATAAGAAAGACATATTTTTAAAATAAAAACAAAATTGTTTTACCAAAATTATTTTACATCAATAATATATATTTCAATTTTTTATATATTATATTTTAAAAATAAAAATAATAATTATTTTAAAACAAAATTTATTAATGAAAACGGCAGTTAATACAAAACGGAGTGAATTTATTAATATAGTTAACAAATTACTTTTACCCGTCCACTTTCAATACAATACAAGGGATATATTCTTCTAAAAAGCAGTCTTAATTTTAATTCTAATTTTAGTAATCATGATAGTTTTACTTCTAATTCTAATTTATTTATAATAATAAAGGTAATAAAAAGGGTTTAGACTCTATAGCACACATCTCAAGTTTTTCAATTTCTAATTATATTATGATACTATAACTTTGCAGGTTAATAATAGATAGATTGATTATACATGCGGTACCATACACAACTTGTGGATTACATCTTCATATGTAGTAGATAGGTTAGATTAAAAAACTATTTTATTCAGTTTCATAGTACACTATTTGGTACAAGACATTCAAGAAAATCGCAATGAATTTGCTGCAAAGGCTACTTGGAGAGGCTCATTAAAAAGCTCTTGTGCAAGTAAGCTATTTTTGTCCAATTATTACCCTTAAAACAACCATTGAATTTAAAAGGAACAATTCAAAAATAAAACTGCCTCAATATACTATTTAACATAATTGATAGAGGTTACAAATAAGTGCCAAAACTATATTTGGAGACTTAAATATCTCTGAAATGCTTCTCACTCTCACTCTGAGTCACAGTAAACTGGCTTAAATTTTTTAGGAAGAATTATTTTTATGGAACAATGAAGAGATAAAATTCTTCGGAGAGTATTTCTTCTACACACCAGAATTCATGGGTGAGAAAGTATACCTCTATGCATCGATAAATGATATTATAGTGGCAGCAATATCACACACATATATTATGTGCTTTAACTTTAGAGCATCCAAAGAACAACACACCATGTTAATTAATTTGATTCTTTTTTACCTTTTCTTCTCTTTTCAACACCTTTGTGAGAGACACGCCACATATTCACCCAAAATCTTAAGATGATAGGTGTGTGAGTTCTTCCACTTATAAATGCTCAAGTTTTCATATTTCTAGCCAATGTGAGACTATTATCCATACTACTCACACTTGTTATACTTAACACTCCCCCTCAAGTGTGAGTCTATCCATAATGCCCCTTAAGTGAAAGCTCTTTTCACATACACTTGTATCGTCGTTGACACTCTTCAACGAAACATCTCCTAACCACCACCTGCGGGGAGTACTTTCTGTGAGGGAAAGGTTCCTTATTACTTTGTTTTAATGATGTCAAAACTAGGAAAATTCCGTACTTATGTGCTTTGGAAAGTATCACCTTGTCTTAGCTTGCATTCATCCTTTTAATATGCGTATAATAATAGGCAGCTTTGCTTTCTGACATATTCAGGTCGAAGTACAGGATTGTGGAGGTCGACCTCTCGCGTATTTGAGCCTATTTTTCTGCATCTTTGTGATTTAAAAAGCTCTTATTTCTGTTATGTTTTGTTAGTCTCACACACACACACACACACACACACACACACACACACACACACACACACACACACACACACACACACACACACACACACACACACACACACACACACACACACACACACACACACATATATATATATATATATATATATATATATATATATATATATATATATATATTGCATCATTTTTTTTGTACAACAACCTGTCGCAACTGTGAAAAACAACCGGCAGAAAAAATAGAAGAGTCGCCACCGAACATTATTTATCCTAAAGAGAGGGAAAGGAAATGATATAAGAAAACCTAAAAGAAAGGAGAAGACAAGGTCATTGCAACCAAATCTTGGATTCAGGAGTCGATTATGCAAGGGGAAGGTATTAGCACCCCCACGTCCGTTGTATTCAACGGGATCCACGCTTGTTGTCTGATCAAAAGGGTGTGTTATTTAAAAATTATTGCTAAACGGGGGAGGGGAAATAAAAAGGAGACTCGATAGAATTTCATCGTCTTATGCCTACGTATTCCCTCGTGCAATGAGAACGTCAGAGTCAACGTAGTTCGGAAAACTACGAGTGATTGGGGGAAGGTTACTCGCCAAGACATCATCGTCTTGTGCCTATGTATTCTCATCTGATATGAGAAATCAGAGCAAACGTAGTTCGAGTAAACTAGACTACTGGTTGGTTAAGTGTTTTTTATGAGTGACGTTAAGTTCCCATTCCAGCAGTTAGGATCGATGCATGTTTGCGATAGAACAAAAAAGTAACGTACTCTTTCCAAAAATGATTTTGAGAATAATCCCTAAGGATAAAAGGTTTGAATTTGATTTGTGCGTTTTAGAGAAATGAGTTGAATTTGTTTGAGATTCATGTTGCACTAAAGACTATGACATTGGAGCGAATGTGTCGCATATCACCCAAAGAGTATACACTAAACACTCTAGACAAATAAGGAGAAACCCCCACTTATCATTTCCCATATACTTAAGGCTCATGGCGCACAACATTCATCATTCTTTATTAAGTTTCTTAAAGTTGTTTGAAATGAGAAGAGAAGACACAAAAGAAAACCGAAAACCCTAATGTTGTCATACAAAATGGTCCTAAGGTTAGGATGAAAAGGAAGTCTACCTAATGTTATCATGCAAAGGATGAACCTAAAGTTGAGATGAAAATGGACTATCCTAATTGTTATCATGCAAAGGATTTAAAACCTAATGTCTCTCCTACTTCACTATTGAACAATAGGACTAGGAATCCTAAGGGATCATGTGAGCAAGCACAAGTAAACACCAATCAATTCAATCACAAATGTAAACAAGAGTAAAACTTAAACAAGTTCCAAAAAGAGAAGAAAGATGAAGAAGGGAGAAGAGGAATTAAGACTGGACAAACAAGCAGTCATTATCAAACCAAAATAAAGACAACAAATACATTCATTTCAATCTCAAACAAAACAAGTATCATCATCAACATCAAACAAACATTCATCACCACAAAGAAAGATGATATGAAGTCAAATGGCACAAGAAACATGGTAGGAAGAAAACACAACATATCATACTCAAGTCATATCAATGATCAAAGTAAGAGCACACAAGAAAACAATCATGCATCTCATCCATATTCTAGGCAACACCAAATCATACAAGCATGCATACAAAGCATCCTAAAAGGGCAAAGCATGAGAATATGACATGAAAAAAAAATGAAACCACACATCAACATGATTAACAAGTTTACATTCAAACATGAACATGCCAAAGAGACCATACAAGTGGAATCACACAAGTGGAAAACAAAAATAAGCCTAAAAAAGAATCGAACATCAAATCACCCACAAATGGAAAAAAACACTTAAACAAACATCAAGAAATCAAGAGACTTGAGGAAGGATAAAATATCACCCAATAATGGATTAAAACAAGACCTCATCAATTTTGAAATTTAAAATCAATTAAAAAACTAAATAAAAAGGTAAATAAAACTTAAAAAGGGATGGAAAATAGCTAGACCATAAACAAAAATCCAAGAACATCACCATAGGTTAGAAACTATCATAGGATAATATGCTAATTTCCTCATAATTTTAAATGGCTCAAAAATAATTTTAAACCACTTAAAATTAACCAAATATTCAGAACAAGTCCAACCACACTCTCTGAACCATCTTCTGAACCAAACTCATCACCATCATTGGATTCCTCAGCCTCATCACCATCTCCTACCTCAGCACCGCCATCATCAGGACCAAATGTACCCACCCCCTCTCCAAATGTAGGATTGACCTCAGGCCAACTCGCATGGGCTAGGAACTGCTCCCTAGTCA